GCCATATGGGCCTCTGGCGCCGCATGCCGAGATCATTCGCGCGCCCTTGCGCGCGTGTTGGGGGGGCACGGTCCGTGTCAAATGATACCATGCGGACCAGTCGCGCGTCGGGTGCGCTCGCATGTCGAACTGTTTCCAAAACCTTCATCACCGACGCGAGGATGCCGTCGTCGTCCTCGGCATGATCAGCATCGGCGCCCGCACTGGCCGCGCCGTCGTCGATACGAACATAGTCACCGGCACTGCTAGTTATCATCGCGTCTACCGTTGTCGACGTTGCCATGATACCGCACCCGCCCCAATCGCCGACTCGCATTGAAATGCCCGCTGCGATGCGCCCAGCGGTCAGATCCACCGCGTTCGCGCCGGTCGCGCCAAACTAGTTGGCCGGTGCGCGTGCGTTCTTGGGCCAGTGCGGCCGCAGGGATGGACCAGCCCGTGCCAAGCTCCCATCGTAATCGCCACCGCATTCGTTTTGCAAGCAAAGTTGTGGGTGGGTGGATAGGATGATTGCGCGAGCAGTGGAGTTGACAACTCACTGCGAACAGAAATTAATTCTCTTTTCTAAAAACAAAATAGGATCTACCCCCCCCCCGGCGTTATCGGTACCCCTTCTGGGTATGTAAATCACATACGATTCTGACCACATGTCCATCCTAAATATGAAATCACAATGTCCAGGCCGGCCGGTATCCCCCCCTGAGGTTCCTTTGCAAAAAAAACACTATGCGGTGACATTTTTTGTTTTAACACAACACTTGATTCACGAATCCCTTGCAAAACATGTGACGAAGTGCACACGCGCGCGTCGTCGCGCGCGCATGCCGAAATCTTTCAAAAACTTTCGGTGCCGGAAGGATTTCGCAATCGAGTTCCCAAAAAACATACAAAAACACGAGCATGATGATGAGGAGAAGGATTCTGATGATGATGATGAGCATGGACATGATGATGATGGTGATGATGGTGATGGTGACGACCATGACGATGACGATGATGATGACGATGATGATGATGATGATCAGGTTGATGATAATGGTGATGATGATGATGACGATGATGATGTTGATGGTCATGATGGTGATGTTGATTTTGATGGTGGTGGTGATGATGATACTCATGGTGATAATGATGCTGATGATGATGCTGATGATGCTGATGATGACGATGCTAATGATGATTATGCTTATGATGGTGATGATGCTGGTGATGATGATGATGATGATGATGATGATGATGATGATGATGATGATGATGCTGATGCTGATGCTGATGCTGATGCTGTTGCTGATGGTGCGGAGGTGAAAGAGGAGGAGGAGGAGGAGCAGGAGGAGGAGCAGGAGGGGGAGGAGGAGGAGGAGGACAAGGAGGAGGAGGGGAGGAGGAGGAGGACCAGTGTAAACCCCAGAGTTACCAACGATATTTGAATAAACCCTTCCCTCAAGCTCCCTCTTCATAGGCCCCTACAACGGTTCATTCCACAGGGGGACCTGCCCCGTTGGAAAACAACCGTTTGAACCTGATTGTTGCGTGTTGACGGTCCTGAATCGTGCCAGAACGTTCTTGGAACCTCAACTCCGCGAATCATCAGAACTGTTGCGCCCTCAGAATCGTGAACCCATTCAAATCACCGTTTCCTGGTACGTCGATCAGGGGAATCCGTGAAACTCTTGTAATATTTTAAATTGAATGTGCGCGTCGTTAAGGCGAGAGTCACATTTTAAAAAGGAACCGCCTTCAAGCCGTGACACCCTTGCAAATTCTTGACGCTTCGCGTATCCCCACCAGCCCATCCAGCAACGATGCCCAGGCGAATGAAGGTGATCAGGGAAGTGAGGGAGCATACAGAGTAACAAAGGGCTGGGGAACCCGTCTTACCCAAGACGGCGAGGATGGAGGAGGAATCGGAGGAGGATGAGGAGGAGGAGGAGGAGGAACTGAAGGAGGAGGAGGGGGAGCGGGAGGGGGGAGGAGGGAGGAGGAGCAACAGGCGGATGAGGAGGAGGAGGAGGAGGAGGAGCAGGACGAGAATGAGGAGGAGGGTGAGGAGAAGGGCTAGCAGAATGGCCAGAGGCCTCTTGGATGCCTCTCGGAGTCTCTTCGGATGTCTCTTGGGAGCGTCCTGAAGGCCTCTTAGGGCGTCTTGGGAGCGTCTTGGCGGTCCCGGAGGCCTCTTGGGGCGTCTTGGGTGCCTCGGGGAGCCTCTTGGGGACCTCTTGGGGCCATCCTGGGGCCATCTTGGGGCCATCTTGGCGCCTTTTGGGGCCTCCTGGGCGCCTCTTGGGGCCATCTTGGAGGCGATCGATCAAAGAAGAGGGTGGGGTTAATTAGCCCCCCCCCCTCTAGATCCTCTAAAATCGCCTCTTGGGCTCATCTTGAGGCGCTCTTGGAGCGCTCTTGGGCGCTCTTGGGGCCGTCTTGAGGCTCTCTTGGGCCCCTCTTGGGGCTATCTTGGGCCATCTTGGAGCCATCTTGAGGCCTCGAATGGCCATCGGAAGCGAAAAGGCGAGAAAGCAAAAAACATTGATTTTCCGTAGGTTGTTGAAGGATTTTGGCCTCTTGGAGGCCTCCTGGGAAAACTAGTTGGCCTCTTGGAGCCGTCTTGGGGCGGTCTTCGGGCCTATTGGAGCATCTTCGGAGCCATCTTGAGGCATCTGAGGCTAGCTTGAGCAATCTTGGAGTTCATCTTGGGCTCCCCGAGGCGCTCTTCGAGCCATCTTGGGCCATCTTGGACGCTCCAACTACCAGCGAAACCTCCCGTCCAGGTCCAGGGGAGGGGGTAGGGGGAGGGGTAAACCCCTCCCCGAAGGGGAAGAAAGGGGGTTGGAAGAGGAAACTCCCTAAACCACCTACGCCCAGAGGGCTGGTGGGATTTTGAACACGAATGCGCGCGGCGCTAAGGCGAGAGCCACATGTTGAAAAGGAACCGCCTTCAAGCCGTGCGACTCTTGCAAACTGTGAAAACGAATGTGCGCGGCGCTAAGGCGAGAGCCACACTTTGAAAATAATTCGCCCTTAGACCGTGAAGCTCTCTGCAAAGTTTGAAAGCAAATGTCCGCGGCGCTAAGGCGAGAGCAACATTTTAAAAGCCAACGGCCTTCAATCCGTGAAACTCTTGCAAATGTTGAAAACGAATGTGCGCGGCGCTCAGGCGAGAGCCGCATTTTGAAAACGGCCCGCCCTCTATCTGTGAAGCTGCTACCAATGTTTAAGCTTCAGGGTCATACATGGTGAGGAAGTCTCAGGCGAAACGTCCAGCACGTCCTAAAAACTAGCCTCGGGATGCGACAGGGAGAAGTTATTTACAAGAAGAAGGAATGGAGGAGGAAGAGGAGGAGGAGGAGGAGGAAGAGGAGGCCGACGAGGAGGAGAGGAGCAAAAGGACTGGGTGCGGATGAGGAGGAGGAGGAGGTGGAGGAGGGAGTAGTAGTAGGAGGAGGACGGAGGAGGAGTGAGGAAGAGGGAGGAGGATGAGGGACGGGAGGATGGGGAAGGAGGAGTAGGTGGGAGGAATGGGGGAGGGAAAGAGGGAGGAGGAGGAGGAGGAGGAGGAGGAAGAGGAGGAGGAGGGAGCGGGGAGCAGGAGCAGGAGGAGCAGGAGGTTGCCCTTCTCCTCTCCGCGGGGGCCGCGAGGGGGCGCGAGGATCCTGTTGCCCTGCGGTCCGCTCACACGGCGCGCGGCGCCGGGTGGCCCAGGTGCGCCTGATGTGCCCCAGATTCTCCAACAGCCTCGCGTCGTGACAAGACGAGCACGGAACCCAGACATGCAACGCCCTGACAAAAAATCGTGACGGAGGGTGTTCCTGAATATCAGGTATCTGAGGACCCTCATTGGGCCCGGGAACCGTCAAGAAACGACTCGGGATGAAAAATATGCCCTCGGGGGCTGAAGAAATCAGGACATCGTATGTCTGGGAAGGTCTTTGGCCGTTTTCGGCCTCTGGGTGCCCTCACCGAGCCCCCGGGCCGTCAAAGCACGGCCCAGAATGAAAAGCCCGTCTTGGTGAGATGTTCCAGACCTTTCCGGAGGCACGTTGTGAGACCCTGCGGCAGAAGACCCTCAACAGATTTGCACAACAGTTCACGATGGAGGCCCACGATGGGGGACTACGATGGGCGCCACGAGGGGGGGCCACGATGGGGGACAAGATCGGGGGCCCAGATGAGGGGCCACGATGAAGGACCACTATTTGGTTCCACGATAGGGGGCCACGATGAGGGCCACGATGGGGCCACGACGCTGGCGCACCGGTTTTGGTGGCCCGGCCCGGGCTCCCCCCTCGGGCGTTACCGGCGAGCTGTTCAGGGCAGTGACGACGTTGGATGCTTGGGATATGGCCCAGCCGGAGGTCGGTGCGGGTGGGCAGTTTGCGTCCTCTGACAGGCTGGGTCGCCAGGGAGAACGCGGACAGGACGGACGTCGACTACAGGTACTTGACCTCGGTGCATTGGGCCGTGTCGCAGTTGCACGGTGCTAGCAAGGTTGTTCCTCCTCCTCCTCCTCCTCCTCCTCACCCTCCTCCTCCTCCTCCTCCTCCTCCTCCTCCTCCTTCAGCCCAAGAGCGAGTTGGCCATCACTGAGATCAGTTTGATGGGCTAGAGTGCGAGCGCCGCTTCTCGTTCCCCTCCTGCAAGACACGGGCAGCATCTTGGGGTCTGCTCGTGGTTACTGTCGTCTTAGCTTTGGGATCGGCGCATCCATGCGCGTTTCATAGTAGTCATCATCACCATCATTATCACCACCATCAGCATCATCATCAGCATCATCACCATCGTCGTCGTCACCAGTATCACCATCATCACCCGCATCACCAACACCACCAGCATCTTCAGCATTGTTAACATGATCATCAGCAGCATACTCGTCGTCGCCGTCCTAATCACCAGCATCGTCATCACCAGCAGCATCGTCTTCGCCATCAGCAGCAGCATAACACTCCCCGTCATCGCGTCGTCATTCGCATCATCACCAGTATCACAATCATCATCCGCGTCATCGGCATCATCATCACGACCACCATCATCATCGGCATTGTCTTCAGCATCAGCATAGTCACGATCCGTAGCCGTTTTGGCTCAAGCTTTTTTGACTCAAGGGACATCCACCTCGTTGCCTGAGCGCGGCCCCCAGAGAGTGCACAGACCAGCGGGTCAGCCTCAGGCCGGAATTCAGGATGTTCTTTGGCGGGTTCCCAGGGATGGACGGGCCAGGTGGCAAGAGCGGAGGTCGCGGTAATAGCAAGCCTGCCGACACCACCAAGTTCTACAAGCTTCTGGAGGTGGACAAAAGCGCGAGTGACGCCGAAATCAAGAAGGCGTACAGGAAGCTAGCCGTCAAGCACCACCCCGACAAGGGCGGCGATCCCGAGACGTTCAAGGAAATCACCCGGGCGTACGAGGTCCTGAGCGATTCTGAGAAGCGGGCCAAGTACGACAAGTTCGGCGAGGAGGGCTTGGAGGGTGGCGGCGGCGGGGGCGATCCGTCGGACATCTTCGATGCGTTCTTCGGCGGCGGCGGCCGGCGCGGCGGGGGCGGCGGAAAGAAGCGCCAGAAGACGAAGGACGTGGTCCAGCCTCTGAAGGTCACCCTGGAGCAGCTCTATGCGGGGACCACGAAGAAGATGGCCATCACGAGGTCGGTGATCGACAAGAAGAAGGGGGTCACCGAGTGCCGCTCCTGCGACGGCCGCGGCGTGAAAGTCGAGGTCGTGCGCATGGGGCCCATGATCCAGCAGATGCAGTCGACCTGTGGGGCGTGCGGCGGACAGGGGCGCTCCTTCAGCACCATCAAGGAGAGGGAGGTGCTGGAGGTGGTGGTCCAGAAGGGCTCGACGGACGGTCACAAGATCCCCTTTCGAGAGATGGCGGACGAGCACCCGGACGCGGACACGGGTGACGTCGTCTTCGTCTGTCAGCAGCAGGAGCACCCGGTCTTCAAGCGCAAGGGCGCCGATCTGTTCGTGGAGAAGAGGATATCGTTGGTGGAGGCGCTCTGCGGCTTCAGCCTCGACATCACGCACCTCGACGGCAGGAAGTTGCTCGTCAAGACAGCCCCAGGCGAGATCGTGAGGCCCATGGACGCCGGCTTCGACCCGCTGGCCGAAGGAGAAGCCAAGAAGGAGTGGGAGGTCTTCGAGGATAGCGATTGCCCCAGCTCGAAGAAGAAAAAACGCCATTCCCATAAACTTTCGGCGTGCCGCGCGGATTTTCTGGATCGGCGTCTGGCCCCCCCAGCGGCGCCTTCAGCGCCGCCTTTGGGGCGCTCCGCGCGCCAGGGAGGGGGACTCTGGCGCGGATCCAAGAAATCCGCGCGGAGCGCCAAACGTTCATGTATATGCCATTTGTTCTTCCTCTACTAGCCTCGACAACGTAGCCCAGGCCGACACAACTGACATCGAGACTCTGAAGAAGGCTGTCGAGACGCAGCTCAAGAGGAAGGGCATCGACGTCGGCGTCTTCGTGGTGGATGGCCACCGTGCGTACTTCAAGCAGGCCTCCCGGGAAGAGGCGCTGGCCGCGAAGAAGCCGCGCAAGGGCCACACCATGTACGTCGTGTCGGACCCGGACGCCAACAAGTCGCTCCGCATGATGAAGGCTGTCAAGGGCGAGGGCATGCCCACGTTCAGGAACCCTTTCGTGTTCGGCAACCTCTTCCTCATCCTCACGATCGAGTTCCCGGAGTCGCTCTCGGTCAGCGCGCAGGAGTCGATGCGTTCCTTGTTGCCAGCGCCGCTCAACACGCCCGCCTTCAAGGAGAGCGACACGGACGTAGAGGTTCATACCGTGGTCGACATCGACCCCGTCGCATCGTTCCACGAGAACAAGGCAGGGCTGGACCTAAACGGTGTTCTTGCGATTTCGTGAGCCGTGTTCGTTTCGACTTCGTTTTGCGGTAAAGGCGGATTGAAGAAAAAACGAAGGAAAACGAAAACAGAGCGAAAACGAAAAACACCGTTTAGGTTCAGCCCTGGAACAAGGTCAACATGACGGGCGGCGGCGAGGCCTACGACGACGACGGCGATGGCGAGGGGCACGGCCCCCGCGGCCCCGGCGGGCAACCTGTCCAGTGCCAGCAGCAGTGAGGGAGCCGGCGCGTGCCGGCTCCTTGTTTGCCGCCCTTACCTTTTAAGTCGGGCGTGTCCCTCTACAGGAGGAATACTCAAAGATAGCGGAAAGATAGCCTGGGGACGATTTGTCCTGTATTGTTTGGCAATGTTGGGGTACGTTTTCGGTATTTTTTGCTGTCTGTCCAGAACCCTCTGTAGGAGGACATGCCCGACCTAACCTTGAACTCCTCCAGTGGTCCCTCCACCACCGATGACTCGGAGGCCAGCAACCGATGTGCACGTACGCAGCCAGCTTCCGCTGGCCTGCGTTTGAACTCGGTCGTTCGTGCAGTGCGGGACCAGAGAGAGCGTACCTGCACACGTGTCGTTTCGGCGGCGAGCGAGGGGGGGGAAGTGAGAAGAAGAAGAAGAAGGCCTTCTGAGCAGGTTCGGAAGTCCCCCTGCCTTCTCAGAAGTATTCTAAGCTTTCCCAGAAGACAGAAAAACTTGTCAGAGGGCGCGAGTGCTTCCGAGAAGTCCCGACGCCTTCTGCTTCTCCCTTCTGCTTCTCCTTCTCACTCCCCCCCCACGCTCGCCGCCGATCGTTGCTCGCCCGCCCACCCCACACCTCGAGATGGAGCGAGTGGCGCCCCCAGGCGGAGCCACAGAGAGCTCCGTGCATGCTTGCATAGTTTTGACCCGCCACCATACGGCAGATTCGTGTCGTGTCGGCCGGCGGCGATCCCGCCGCTGGCGTTCAACGCTGAACGCCGGCGGCGGCCAGGATCGGTCGATGTTTCACGATTGGACGTTGCGGAAACGGCCGATCGTAGGAACCAACGCCCGGGTCGACACGACACGAATTTGCCGTACAGTCGACCCGCATGGTAAGAATGGGCAACCTTCCCACAAAGGGTACCCTTGCATCCTTGCCTCCTCGGTCCATCCTTGGCCGCGTTCGTGGGCCGCCCGCTCGAAAAGCTTCGACATGGGCGTCCAAGGCCCTTGCATCCTTATCGCGCATCTTTCTGATGTGGGTTGGCCGTACCCGCCCACGAGCTGACACAGCCTGCGGCACCAGCCGGGTCGGGTGCTCCCGCGGTTCTTGGGCGCGGCCCTGTGCACCCGCGCAGCTCCGCCGCGTTTTCCTCGCCCAAGGCAGACACGAGCGAGCCGCGCTTCGCCCAAGGCGGCACCCGCGCGTGGCTGGACAAAGACCCACAGAGACGCCCTCGCAGTGCTGGAACATCCTTAGTAGCATCATCATCATCATCATCATCATCATCATCATCATCATCATCATCATCAGCAGCAGCAGCATCATCAGCAGCATCCTCAGAATCATCGTCACTATTATTATCGTCATCATCCTCAGCATCATCATCGGCATCGTCATCATCATCATCATCATCATCATCATCATCATCATCATCATCAGCATCAGCATCAGCATCAGCATCAGCATCATCATAATCATCACTAGCATCAGCATCAGCAGGTGGGGGGCTGCCAACCAGGTCCTCTTCGAGCCGGACAAGGAAAGCTTCCATATTTTGGACACCATCTCGCCTGACGGCGAAACGTTCAAGATGCTCGGCGTGCTGTTCGACACCAGATTGAGTATGTACAAGGCGGTGTCCCACTTCGTGGCGGAAGGCTCCTGGAGGCTCCAGGCGCTACTTCGAACAAAGCGGTTTTACTCCACTGCTGAGTTGGTTCGATTGTACAAGTGCCACGTGCTGTCGTACATTGAGGGCGCTACCCCGGCAATTTACCATGCTGCTGAAGCCAGTCTCCGCCATCTCGACGGGCTGCAAGACACATTTCTGGAAGGCGTGGGCTTGACACCCAAGGCAGCACTACTTGAACACAAGCTGGGCCCACTAGGGTTGCGGCGTGACATTGCAATGCTTGGTCTTCTATACAAGGTTGCTCATGGGAAAGCACCGCCATCGTTGGCTTCACTGTTTGAGCCGTTCAGAGGCCAACGTGCAAGGTACGGTTTCTCATCAGATCTGCGTTTGCACAGCAAGGCGTTGCACGAACCTCTCCAATCCGGCCATCTTCGAATGCTTCATCGGTCAATCTATGGTCTGATTGCTATATTCAACCGCTTGCCTGGCATCGTGGTGCGCGCCAGGTCTGTCAAAGGTTTTCAACGTTCGCTGCAACGTCTGGCCAAGGATGCTGCCGTGACTGGCAGCCCTGAGTGGTCTCGAATTTTCTGCCGGGGCTGACGCCGCCGAGAGAATTTTTGCATCGTGTGTTTTTTGATGATTTGAGGGTTTGTCGTAGAAAAAATCAGCATCATCATCACCACCGCCTCCCCCATCATCATCACCACCACCCTCTCATCAGCATCAGCAACCTCATCATCATAATCATCAGCAGCATCATGCTCATCATCGCCACCACCACCACTATAAGAGTAATCGTCGTCGTCATCGGCATCGTCATCAGTGTCCTCATCATCATCATTATCAGCATCATCATCACCACCACCGTCACCATAATCGTCATCACCATAATTTTGATCAGCCGTTCTTCTTCATCGTCAGCATCGCCATACTAATCATGAGCAGCACCACCACCGCCAGCATATCCATAATCGTCATCATCACCATCATCGTCAGCATCATCCGAGTCATCACCGCAGTCATCATCACCAACATCATCATCATCATCACCACCAGCAGCAGCAGCAGCAGCGTCATCATCCTGCTCCTCCAGGTCGGACCTGGGAACACCCTGGAGTCTTTGTATGCCATCCTGACCCTCCTGCTGGGCCTGGGCTCGCTCTGCTTCCTCATCGCCTCCGCCACCTCCGGCGTGATGCAGCTGGAGGAGACGCGCTCCTCCGCGGCCAAACAGCGCGTGCTGATACGCACCTACCTCAGGAAGAACAACATATCGCGCGAGCTCTCCCTTGCAGTCCGGGACTTAGACGATCCGCGTCCCTCCAACAACTGGCTCACCCGCGGGGGCGCAGATGCAGACACGAGACATCTGGCGTCGTGATATTTTCCCAGCGTGGCCTCCCAGAGGTCTGGACTCCTGCCCGGGGGCCGATGTTCCACCCCGAGTCGTGCTCGACGGCCCCACTGGGCCCGATGAGGGCCCCTAGAGGCCGAAGGTGGCCAAACACCTCGCACAACGTTTTTGTTCTTCTTCGTCGCGACGCGAGGAGGTCGAGGACCACCTCGGGATGACCCGCGGTGGCGCGACGGCAATCCGCCGCCCTGCCCGCCCCGCGGCCTTGTGCATCTCGCAGAGCCTGCCGCGCGCGGAGAGCCCGGCGTCTCTCCTCCTGGGCGCGGCGCGGGGGTGCCAAGGCGCCCGTCGCCCAGGGTGCGGCTCCTCGTCCTCATCCGTTCCTCCGTTCGACAGGAGTGACCAGTTCCCAGACGGCGCCAGCGCCAACCGTGCCGTGACCAGGGGGGGGGGGGGCGGGGCCCGTCACGGGCGGTGTGGCGAAAAAAACAAACAGGAGTTTGGGAGGTCAGATTCAGCATCGGCGCTGGCACATCCGTTGCTGAAAGCCGTCATATTCTCGCACCAGCCTGAGCAGGTTCGCCTCGTTTGGCTTGTACTCCTGGGCTCAAGCGTAGGTTCCTTCTGGGTTCAACCGCCCATATACGTCCCCTTGATCCCGCTTAAGAAAGTCAAGACGCATCGTAAGGATGCAGGGGAAGACTACAGGGGCCTCGGAGGGCCTTGTTGGCGTTTTCGACTGGGGTTGCCAGCGAAAGTCGCCCAGGATGGGCCGAAGGGGCAAGGATGCAAGAGTAACCTCGGACAGTTGCTCCTCCTCACTGCGCGACTTGACTGTACTAGCCCCCGCGTCGCTCTAGCCCCCGCGTCGCTCTTGCGAAGACCTCCCAAGGTGCTTGCCTCCTGACCTCAGGCGCCGCGCTGACGGCGGCGAGAGGCGCGTCCCCGCGCCCTGAGGACCGATCCGTCGGCCGATCCATCGTGGCCACATGAGCTGTGGATGACGATCGATGGAGAGGAGGCGCATTGCCAAATAGTTCCCAGATGTCTAAAGCAGGTTTAACAGATGACTCTAAAGTGTCAAAACATGTACCGAACAGGTTAAAGCATGCAGGAGACAGTTGAAGACTACATGTTTTCATTCAGTGATAGAACGGTTCGAGTGTCCATTGTCATGGGATCCACAACATATGAGTCCATGCCAGCGGATCGGCGGGTCTGGCCCCTGGTCTCACCGAGCGCGCTCCATTGGTCGCAAAGTGCGTGCTCGCAAACGCCAGCACAACACACATGCTCTTGCCTCGACGCAACGGATCTTGCATTTTTTCCGTGGCGGATCCAGGCTAGTTTCGAGTAGAAACATGTTTGCGAGCAGTGGAACGCGTTGGTCTTGGGTCGGCCGACGGATCGGCGGGATCGGCCGACAGATGGATCGGCCGATCCTGCCGGCGAATCGGCCGATCGATCCCAGGCCGATCCCGCCGAGCCGTCGGCCGAGGGATCGGCCTCGACTCATGGCGACGATCAGGAAGCCGATGCGTTGGCCGATCCATCGTCGCCATGGGTCTGGGCCGCCCCGGCGTGGTCGAAGTAGAGCGGATCGGTGAGTTGCGCTGTATCGTTGATGTCCTCACCCTCCTCCCCCC